GTACGTGTGCGTGGCCCGAGCGGGGGGTTTCCAGGCGGATACGTTGAAAACACGGGTGGCCTTAGGGAAGCTGCGGGTGTTTTTCCCGCCTGACAGGCTTCGCTTTCTTGCTTTGCATGTGCTTGTGGAATACTTCCTCTCTTCAGTGTTATAACGGAGCTCTACAGCGACAGAGCTTCCTCTCTCTCCTCATGCAGGGCTGCGTTTCGTTTTATTTTGGGGAGAGTCACGTAATAACTGAATAGTACGTTCTTTTTAAGCCCCGTGGTTCTGCCGTCGTCTCTGTGCCTCTGTGTCCCCTGCGTGGAGGGCCGAGTCTTTTCCATCCGATGCTGTCCTCAAGTGCTCTCGCATCTGCAGTTTGAGGCTGTCTCCCCAGGCCCCTTGCACATCAGTTGTCTGGAAGGTTGATAACAATATGGAGATGCTGCTAACCCTCTTCTGATTATGCAAGACAGTCTTTGTTGTTGTTCTGCAGGGCGAGAACCGGTTATTTTTCCATATTTTATTTGGTGCTGAGCGGGTCATCCACGCTGCTAAATACCATGACAAAAATGAAACATTTTCCTCACCTTTTTCCTTCTCCCTCTCTCCTGTCGACTTCTGCTAATTAATTCATTTTGGTGCTAGAATCATATTGCTGAAATGCAAGTGCACTGACTGATGGTAACAAGTTTAAAGTGTTTTAGGAGCTTTAGTGATGTTTATTTTCAGTGCACGTATCTCGGTGTGCTGTTGGTTAAATTGTGCATAAAACACTGCCAGTGTCCCTTTTGCACATTCTTTATAAGAAACCCCGTATTTTCTTTTATCTTGAGCTTGCCTTAGGACACCATTGCTGAGCTTCCATTAAATCTGGTTGCTGTCAGCTAGGATGTGTAGTTTGGATCAGAGAACACCTTTTGAAAAGTGAGTTAGAAAAATTAATCCATCTGTCATGATTTGGATGGGTTAATGTAAAGCCCCAGTAGCTTGGCTACTCTAAGCTGATTCACGTGCCTCGGTTGGCTTAAGATTTTAACTCCTGGGGAGAATAATTTGGAAACTGTAGAATGGTTGGACGTTGCCTTGAAAGGAAGCCACTCAATAAGGGAATAAGAAATGAGAATAAAGTTATACCTTTTATAAATGGTACGCCTTTTTCAGCTCTGAGTTTGAGCCCCACGTGAAAGAAATGGAACAAGTAGCATGGTTTGCCAGCGCCTGTAATACTAGCCACAAAAATCATCAGAGAAGGTAGAAGTGAGCCAAACATTTTTTTTTTCATAATTTGTAGTTCAAGTGCTGTTGATGCATGCTAAGAAGGCTGATAAATGTGGACACTTCGACATACTCTTAAAATTGCACTGATAACTGTTAAAAATTTATATTCATAGAGTTCACGTAGTCGTTAAGTTAGGTTCCCAAGTTGCTGTGCAAGCTGTGTTGCATTTTTAACTCAAATGATGCAGTGGTAATTTTATGAGATAGAAAAACCTTCCTGTCTGAGGGCTGCGAGACAAGGTCTGTTCTGAAACCTAACGTAGGCCTTTAGAAACATAACATTGTAGTGTTAAGTTTAATTTTCAGTTGCAGCTAGTTTTGTTTATGAACAAAAGGTGGTGTCACCCTTAACGGTATGACTAATGTGAGGTGCCAGAATTGCAGCCTTCATTTGGGTCTGGAGAACAAGTCTTACAAGGAGCGGCTGAGGGAACTGGGGTTGTTTAGCCTGGAGAAAAGGAGGCTGAGGGGAGACCTCATCGCTCTCTACAACTCCCTGAAAGGAGGTTGTAGCGAGGTGGGGGTCGGTCTCTTCTCCCAAGTAACAAGCGATAGGACGAGAGGAAATGGCCTCAAGTTGCACCAGGGGAGGTTTAGATTGGACATGAGGAAAAATGTCTTTACTGAAAGAGTGGTGAAACATTGGAACAGGCTGCCCAGGGAAGTGGTTGAGTCCCCATCCCTGGAAGTATTTAAAAGACGAGTAGATAAGGCACTTAGGGACATGGTTTAGTGGGCATGGTGGTGTTGGGTCGACGGTTGGACTCGATGATCTTGAGGGTCTTTTCCAACCTCAATGATTCTATGATTCTATGATTCTATTTAACCAAATGGTATTTCAGCTTTCTAAGAGCAGAAATTCTCACTTCTGTACAGTCAACTGAATTTGGAAAAAACTACTTTTTTGGTGGAACTTTTTAAAATGTCACTCATACATAGAGTTATTGCACCCACTTGTGGAGGAGATTGAAACTGCAGAAGCTGAGATCCATGAATCTTCCTCTCGTTTTCACCTATTTTAGATTTTAGTGATAATTGAAATCACTGAAGCTGTACAATTTTTTTGTTAAGTCGCAAGCCACCCTTGAATCTCTCTGCTGCAGAAGAGAGCAAGCTGCATTGAAAAGAGCTTCTGCCATGAGATGAGGGTCTAGTATGTATTTGTAAGTGATATAGTTAAGTATTAATAGTGTTGTACAAACCATTACTACAGCTGCTTGTGGCATTTAGGGTACAATTGTCGTAATCTGTGTTTGAGAAGGGCACACTGATACTTGCAAGCTTATGTAGAAGGATTAGTATGATCAATGGAACAGGATTTCCTGTGAGGGGAGACTAAAAGAGGAAGACTTACTCAGCCTGATCAAAAAAAAGTTTAACAAGGATATGGTTCACTGTCTACTCTCTTGATAGGTTTATATTGTCGATCAAAAAGGCTATAATTCTTTCCAAACATAGGAGGTGAATTTGTTGTAGCTAGGTATGTGAGGTTTTTATATTTTTAAAGCTGTATACTTCAGGTATCACACGGAGCCTCCTTTGGCTGTTTCCTCTGGATGACCAGGAAACTCTTGGAACTGCTATGCTGGGCTGCGCTTCTTTTGCATAAGTCTGGTGGAAAGCTTGAGCTTGTATTTTAAAGTGACAGCAAGGGACCATGGCCATTGTCCAGCTACAGCTCTTAAACCCTAAGTGAAGAGAGTTTGAGACATTGCTGGCTCAAGAACAAATGGGTAACAGCTAACTGAACTAACGTGGGATAGAAATTGGAAGATAAGCAAGTGAGGTTCTAGAACAGTTTTTCATACAAATAGTAGTAAGGTAGATAGTAAACCTACGTAGTTTTAAGATGGAGCTTCATTGCTTTAAGAAAGGATTATAGAATGTATTTTTGAAAGAACAGAATTGGGTTTAATACATCAGGGTTCCTTTCCAGGACTTACGTTACATAAAAACAATTTGAATGTTTGACCACTATGACCTACTTTGTCCAACAAGGCTGTCTTAAGACTTAAGAAAGAGCCTGCCCTGTGTACATACTGAGGAAATGGATTTATGTACGTTAGTTTTAATCCTGCTGATAACCAGAAATATTTTGTACTACCTATTCCTTTTAACTACTTTGTGGAATTAAATGCAAATCTAATACGTAAGAAAGCTGATTATTGCTGCATGCTCTTAAATGTTTCACAAATGTGCAGTAGATGTTATCATAAAAGGATAAAGATGAAGTAAAAAATGAAAGTGCTAAAATTGGGTATGAGAGAGAAGGTGATCACTCACTTCTGGTACTGTTCATTGCTAGAGACCCCACAGAGCCTTATTAAACCCTAGTTGAAGTCAACGGAAAGATTCCGGTTGACTTTAGGGAAAGTTTACAACCATCAACGCTAAGAACGATAGAGATCTTTAAGATGATCTCGTCTCTCCTGGTTTTTAAACTGGTTTGCTTCTTTGCACTGTCTTTTTGCTTATGATTCATGCTGATTTTCAGGACTTCAATATTACAACTTAATATCAGAGATGACCTTCCTTGGAATGAGAGTTTCTGTGCTGAAAGCGCCCCGTAGCTCCACAGTGAGACAGGGGACTAATGGTGAATCTCTAATGCATCGTATTTTTCTGCTGCCTGGTGTGCTTTTCAGCTAGAACTGGATTGAGAGAGTGAGTGGACAATCTTATCTTCCTAGGGAGTGTTAGGATGCAGGCTGAGGCATTGAGCTGCAGGTGCAGAGCCTTGCTTTGGGCATATATTCAGCTGCCTTTTGCACGGTGTTAGCCACATCATTCCCGTAAGAGAGACTGACATGCTTTGGTCACACCAACTCCACGTGCCACCTAGACTTGCAACACACGGGTGACTTTTTGACCTTGTTTTTTGGGGAAAGGATCGAGTCATTTACGTGTTTATTTGTGATGTGTGTAAGGTGGAGGTAGGTTCTAGTTCTGATTCTTTCTCCATAGCAGACAATTTTTACCACTGTCTTCTTGGTATAAGGTTTTTTTCCACTTTCACAGTGGAGTGCGTAGTTCTGTTGTGGTAATGCTGTGTTGACAGAGCACTTCACCCAGATCAGAATGAAACAATTTGACTGAAATGGATCCATTTTGTCTCTGTGTGTGTGTCTGATCTTTAAATAGTTAAGGAGGGTGTCTTCAGCCAGCATGGTTACTCAGCGGCCGATAAGACTATTACAACTATGCTAAGTCAGGGATTTGACCCAAACTTCTGCTTCTCCTTTGAATTATTTGACTCTGAAACCATCAGGTGGAGCTGAAAATGTGAATTGCACTTGCCATCACATGTCCCTAACTTTCTCCAGCAAGTTTTGTTAACTTAGAACGCAGAAATGAACCTTTTAACTTTACTCTGAAAGCAAATATTGACTTTTTTGCCCTCCTGTGCAAAGTCCAGATTACTATGAAAAAGCCTGACATTCCTGAAAATGGCAGCTGAGACATCCACAGAAGTTCCAAAAACTGCTAGACAATTCATCCTTAAAGAAGAGGTATAACATGCTTGGTTTTGACATGTTTTATTGTTAAATAACAATTATTTGAAACTGATCAGAATGTTTGTGAGTGCAGAGTAAGAAATGCTATAGATGCTGTATGTTTGTAAAATCTATTCGATAGACAAAACACTTCTTCCTGATGGTCAGAGAGTTTAAAAAAGGTGGCATTTCTCTTTGTTGAAATAATCATACAAATTATCAATGGGGAGAGAGAAATCTACAGTGCTGCATTATTTTAAGCTTCTTTTTTTTTTTTTTATTTTGCAGCTGGTTCTTGTATTGTCTGTTCGGGCTGTTTTCAGTGTTCAGAAATAATGCTGATACCTCTGAGAGGCTATACAAATCGGTGGATCATGAAACAGCCTTGTTTTCCGTTCCTTTCAGATGATGAACCACTAAAAGTTGCCTTAACATTTAGGATTGTACCTTCTTTGATGCTTTCTGAAAGGGTTTGAATTTAGATAATTGCTGTTCTAAAGACATTAGTAAGGCGGTAGTAAGATTTTTTTCAAAAATATTATGGTTGCATCTTCACAGAATCAGAAAATATAAGGTCCTGAGAAAGGAATTTGGAGATACTTCTGGGTGCTTATTAGGAGCACTTTCACCCTAAGTAAAACCGCCTACATTTGTTTCTGTTCTCTTTTAAGTGAATTCTTAAAAGTTAATCTTTGGTGGTAAAGGCAGGTTTGGCAACAGCACCACGCTGCTGTTATAACACAAATGTTGTTTCTTTTATCCAGTGTTCCTTCCTTGGAATGAACAGAGTCTTGTTTTTTCTTTAGGTTTCAAGGTACAAAACTTTTTCAGGAAAGAAGAAACTCACATTGTTGGGATATATTTATGGCTTTTCCCTTTGGGTGGTTTTTTTAATATGAATATTTCTCGAGCAATAAAGGTTTCATTTTTGTAAGCTTTTCGGGTTTTCTGTTAAGACCTGTGTTTTTGCAGGTAACATTTTCATTTTATCCTTTCCCCCCCATAATGCCTCTTAGTTCTCCTCCTTCAGAATATTGTACTTTTTGGTGTCATTGGAAGTTTGTAATTAGATTTAAAAGCTTTTTAAAAGCTATTTAGTTTTTTCAGTCATTTTGTGGGATTAATACAGGAGAGTATTTACCATGCCTCTGCCAGTGGCCCTTATATTAAAAGTGGTTCTGTAACTCTTCAGCAACTACGTGGTCTGACGTTGGAATATTTTCTTCCATGAAAGTAGCAGCTGGTCTTACATCCTTCTTCCTGTTTCTGGGAACAGTCAGGCTGTTGTAAGCAAAAGCAGATGTTGTTTGCCCATCAAAGTAATAGATAAAGCAATAAAAATAACTCATTCTAAAACTGAGTGTGGTAAGTGCAACACATCCTGCAAAGTGTCCTTAGGCCCTAAATAGGGGATTTAGCAAAGCAGAAGTTATGCTTCTGGGCCAGCTTCCGCAAGTTTTAATTGTGCACCCAACAAGGCGGGTGACAAAATTATCTTTTTCTTCTAGGGAAACCTGGCAACTTTCAGTTTTCTCACCCTGTAGGCCGTTAGCATCAAGAGTTTCACCAGACTTCAGAGGATTGTGGAACACTTCCATTGTAAATATTTATGCTACATGTCGCACAGTACTTTTTAATTATTGCTCCATGACAGTAGAGGCCAAAAGCAGTATTTAAGAATATCTGATTAAAAACAAGACATTTTGTTTGACGTTGTTTGTCTTGTACACATAAAACCTACTTTTTTCTTTTTTCTTTTTTCTTTTTTCTTTTTTTTTTTTGTCTTTTTGGAGCTTGGATAGGTCTAATTTCTTACAGACTAGGGATTTCTTTTTCCTCTAAGATTCCTGGGGACAGTGATGTGGTTCTGATTTCAGCCATTTCCCCCTTTCTGCTTAGCAAACGATAACTTGGTGACAGGGGTAATGATCTGCCAGTTCTGTTGAATGCTGCAGCAATATGGGACCACGATCAATAATCTAGTCCTTTGTGTTCTCTGCAATGTTTAAAAAAATTCATTAACGCAAAACATTTGGCTGTGTTTACTTAACTGAAGTATGTATATTCCTCTCCTTGGACAACCAATGGAACTTGATGTTCATCTGTTTCTCTTTTGGGTCTTCCTGTGCTCTAATTCTGCAGTGATTTAGGAGTGAATGCAAAGCTATTTAAAATATACCTGAATGCTTCCGAACGGAATTACTTCTTGTACCTGTAATGAGCATAATATACTTCATCTCCCTGCCTGCTGTTTTTGTGACCACAAAGCCATTAGAAAGCCCTTTTGAGAACACGCAGCTCTCCTTTTCCAATTCCTGTTACGTGGAAATACTATACTTTACAAAATAAATGCCAAAGTGCTTAGATGTGAAATACGTGTAGCTGTGTTTACAGTCATAGGAGTGCTATTGTTATTTCGAATGCCTATCAAAAGAATTGTTCTGAAGAACACATTTTAAGAATTACATGAGTTCATCCAGCTCAGTTATAATTTACTGGACACCTGAATCACTTCTCATTTGCCTTCTGCCTCCAGCTGATGTGGTATTGTGCTTCTGTACTCTAGTTATAGCTGCATCATATACTACATTTCATTTCTCTATTTTTTTTAGCTGGTGAATCTCTTGGTTTTAAGTTCAAGATCTACATGGCCACATGGGCCCTGTGTGCTCCATGTCCTGCACTAGAGGACACTAGCGTGCCAACCACAGGAATGGCCTCTCGGACTTCATCGTTTGCTACAATTTAATGTTGCGGGTTTTTTCCCAGATCCCCTTTTCCCCTTGCTTATGCTTGCTCCGTTGCTGTCAGCAGTGTGCCTCATTAGACAATAGGAAGTGATTTGTTCATCTTACCGATTACTTCTGATTTCTGTGGTCAGACCTATGACCAACTTGATAGAAAATTCTGGAGACAAGCTTCTTGTCTGCCTATACCTTTAGCAAAGCTTAAAATACAAGTTACATTAAAAGAAGTAAAGTGCTGGGCTAATACCTAGGGACTTTTCCCTTTTAAAGGAATTACAGAAAAGATGAGGAAACATCACAGGGCAAATAAACTCACTTAGCTCAGAAAAGACACTTTGTAATAATGTTAATGCCAAGCACTCAATCAGCAGCTCTCAGAAATCCTAAAAGGGCAGGTATGTATCACTGCTCGCAGTTACAGAAACAGCGGTTAAGCAAAGCCACAGTCTGAGATCATGGCAAGAAAAGTTTCAAAATAGTTTGGATTTCCGTCTTGCATGCTTAGCTGTTAGGCTGTGCTGTCTGATAAGTGGGCACTCGTAACCACCAGCGTAGCTACAGCCTGTGCAGACCAGTGACCGTTTTTCAGCTGAAACGTGACCTTTGCAAAATCCTTCTAAAAAGATGAGGACTTTCCAGTACATAAAATCCCACCGAATTCATTGAAATGTGGTTATAAAAGTCACGTTAAGAAAAGTTACTGGGCTTACTTTCTATTCCTATTAAAGAACTTGGAGTAAATTTTTTTTTTCCGTAATAGCTACAGGAATGTTCCTGCATGTATTCTGATGCTGAGATTTTGTCTTCAAAAGAATCCAAAAATAGCCATGTTGTTTTTCCCCTTAGCCCCCAAATATCTTTGGGATTAATCTTATAATGTATTTAACAAAGAATTCTTTATTTTAGGTAATTGTAGAAGGAAAATGGGTGAAGCTTGAAGAAACAACTTATACTGATCCCTTTGGTAAAACCAGGTAATTGCCTTTCTGGCGTTTCAGATTCCTATAATGTTCCCAATTGTATGGACTAGCCTCAGGCTAGAGAATATGAGCATTACAAACCTGTTACTCAACACAAGATGAGGTCTAGCCATTGTGCAATTCCTTTATAGTTTGTACTGTTCAGAGAAAAAAAAAAAATCTTACTCTTGCAGATGTGCTAGCATGTGGGATCAAATTTGGCTCCAAATTCTTTTGGGCACATGGGACCCTGGTTTACCTTGCATTTTCTCTTCCTTGTAAAGACGCTGTGCAGAAGCAAGTTCTAGCTATGCAACTGGACTGTGATGATCAGAGAGCCTGTCCTGTGGCTTTTCAGGTCCTTTATTAAGGGCTTCTTTTTTCCTGCTGATGGTGCTGGATCTTGCATACTGTTGACAAGTTGCTGTCCTCTTGTATATTATCACACCTGTCCAATTCTTTCTATGCTTTAGTTTTGCTGTATTTATCTAGATATGACAACACGGCTTTACTTCCTGCCCCTTAATGTATTGGATTCTGTACTGATTGCTTTCTCTAGTGCCTCCCAGTTCATCAGCAAAGTATCCTTTTAAAAAATAGCAAAGATTGGAGCTTTTGTGAAAGGATTTTATTGCTGGTGGACTTTTGGTTTTTACTCATCCCGTTGCTTATTTTGAGAGTGAAGCTTTGGTCTTCCTTGCCTATAGGCTCCTTGTGTGCTCAAGTAACTGAGCTGAGAGTTCACAATAACTTACACTCTAAACCTTATGCAAAAGCAAGATAAAAAATAGAATGCATGTGGTCTTGCTACAAAACTGTCTTTCAAAATCTGACATGTTTAATATATAAATTGCTTTATTCTGCACTTTTCCAGCATCGCTTTTGTAAGACTTGCATGTTCTGTGACAATCATTTATGTCTTTCTCTCTCCCTCCTTTAAGTAGGCAAAACAAAATTATACTACAGACATTTTGTAGTGCCAGTGCATGACAGGGCTTGCCGAAGGCCAGCTGTTTTCTTATGGGGCCTCACTGTGTGATGGTATATTTTGCTTTTAAATGACAGTAGCAAGGGTAGAAGAAGACTTACAAATAAAATGGATATTGTTCCTTTTAATGTATTCATTTGTTCTTTTCTCTGTGTTAAACAGAACTTGGGAAACGGTAAAGCGTACTGGCAACAAAAAGGGCATTTCAGCTGATGGTAAGACAGTGGTGACTTTTTTTGTTTGCATTTTTTCTTTTTATCAGTTCTTCTGATAAACTCACAGCTCAGTTAGAGCCGATCTATTTCTGAATGAATGAGGATGCGGAACAAATAGCTCAGCAGAGCTTGCTGTGTACCCCTGAGCTAATGAAATGCTCATGTCAGTGCTGAAGAATCAGAACCTGACTGGCCGGAGTGTTTTCCCAAGACCATTGTATTCACTTTAGAACAATGGAACAATTTCAAAGACATGATGGATGCCCTGATACAGAGTAGCTTACAGACTGGTGAAGTGGGTCTGCTGCTAGGGGCTAGGGATACAGTTCTCTTTGGGCAAAAGAGGGACATGATTTAGCCATGAAAGGAGTGTAGGAGAGGGTTCCATACAATGGCTTCCAAACAGTCTCTAGATGTTGGTGGGCTAAGGCTCAGTCTTGCTTGGTATGTCTGCCTCCTGGTCCCATTTTGGGCTTTTATCTCTGTCCTGGTTTCGGCAGGGATAGAGTTAATTTCCTTCCTAGTAGCTGGTACAGTGCTGTGTTTTGGATTTAGGATGAGAACAAAGTTGATAAGGCACCGATGTTTTAGTTGTTGCTAGGTAATGCTTATGCTAGTCAAGGACCTTTCAGCTTCCCATGCTCTACCGACTGAGAAGGCTGGAGGTGCACAAGAAGCTGGGAGGGGGCACAGCCAAACTGGCCAAAGAAACATTCCATACCATGTGATGTCATGCTCAGTACATAAACTGGGGAAAGCTGGCTGGGGGGGCCGCTGCTCGGGGACTAGCTGGGCATCGGTCGGTGGGTGGTGAGCAATTGCACTGTGCATCACTTGCTTTGTGTATTATTAGTATTATTATTATTATTTATTTCAATTATTAAACTGTTTTTATCTCAACCCATGAGTTTTTCTCACTTCTACTCTTCCAATTCTCTCCCCCATCCCACCGGGGGGGGTGGGGGGGAGTGAGTGAGCGGCTGTGTGGGGCTCAGTTGCCGACTGAGGTTAAACCACAACAATCTCTCACCACGCGTGATGTACGGAGCTTAAATTCATAGTTCAGGATTCTGGAGCAGGTGTCTAATGCTCAGAGTAACAGTATGTGGGTTCCTTTCCAGATCTAGCACTAAATACTCACTCTCTGCTATACTCAAATACTATGTACTTGTGTCTTCCGTTGCTATTTGTAGGTGTAGCAGTGATAGCTATACTACAGAGAACTCTCCACTACGACTGCATTGTCCTAGTGAAACAGTTCAGGCCCCCAATTAACAGCTATTGCTTGGAATTTCCTGCAGGTAAGTGACTGAAACATTAAGATGAGTTACATAAAGCTGACAGTTAAGTGTGTTTAAATGTGCTTGGAGCATCAATCTTAATGAAGTAGCTCTAACCAGAAAATCATGGTAAGCTCTGTAGCTCAGTGTGCTATTCAAAAATAGGAATATTTGATAATGAAGAATACAAAATAAACATCATTCATTTTAGCAGATTGGAGGCATTTTGCATGGTAGCCTGTTAGTAGAGTATTGCATTTCCCTCCACTCCTCCTTTCTGTTAAGAGCTGAAGCATTTGGCTTCTTTCCCTCATGAGAATACTAATGCCATTTCCTGGGAAGGTAGCATGCTCCTGTAGATAATCAGTTGGAAGACATGGGCAGCAGCATGATGAATCCTGGAACTGGAGTCCTTCCTAGCGCCTCAGTTTATCCCTCTGTAAAAATAGGGTAGTGACAGTGTTTCACCTCATTTGTAAAGCTGGATTAGATCTTGGGATGCGTACTGCTGTTAAGTGCTAACTTTTTAATTGTTCTTGTGTATTATTTCTCAGGTCTCATCTAACTTTTTAATTGTTCTTGTGTATTATTTATCTCTCAGGTCTCATTGAGGAAAATGAGACTGCAGAAAGCGCTGCATTGCGAGAGTTGGAGGAAGAAACTGGGTACAAGGGGGAAGTCGTTGAATGTACTCCAGGTCTTTGCTTTTTTTTTTATTTTTCCAAAGCTAATTCTGTCTGTGATGAGTACTCTGGATGTCTAAAATGCTCTAAACCAAAGGAAAAATCTACGCAGAAAAGTCTATGCAGATTAGCAGAGAGTAGTATCCCATGCCTGTACCAATGAGACTTTGGTCCTTTATGAGTCAGTTGCTGAACTCCTGTTAAACACACAGGACTAAAGTAACAGTTTGATGTCTGTACTTTGCTGTTAAGATCCTTTACGCAAAACCCAATTATTCAAGCTGGGATTTGGCACATTAGTATAAAGGTCTAAACTGCTGGACTTAATGTGAAGAACATCTGTGAACTTAGGTAGAAAAAATAGCTGCATGATGCAGTCCGAGTGGAGGTCACCCTCACGTCAGCTGTGGGGAGGTGACAGTACTCAGGTTCTCCAACCAGAAAGAAGAAAGGAGGGAATAACTGGAGTAAAGCCAGAGATCCTTTGGAACGTGATTGTTGCCAATCCAATGCTTCCTACATAAAACAAAACGAAGGCAAAACAAGGGCCATAAATAAAACTTGAGAAGGTAGGTAGAAAGGTGAGGCAACTTGCATATGATTTCAAGTAAATGTCATTATAGTTGAGACTTGGCTCTTGATTATCCAGTACGACTACATGCTGGGGACTGAGAGAGGGAGACAGGCAATGGCAAACTTAGACTCTTAACAGGCTGAGGAAGTCTGTAAGGGAACTATAGTTTACAGTTTAATCTTCAGTCTATGGAATGGAAAGGAAACCTAGGTGCTGAAAACAAGTCTTGCAAGGAATCTGTGAGAGCCGAGAGTTACAGAAACATTACTCTTAAGAACATGTGAAAACAAAACTTTTCACAACTCTTCCAGCATGAACTTCTGCCAAGTATGTGTTCTCCTATTGTATCAGATGTATTTGTGCGAAAGCTTTTGTTAAAATGTCAAGGTGCCTTTTGAAAAATTAACCTCTACATGTGCTTGTTGGCAGCTCTCTGCTTGGACCCAGGTTTGTCAAACAGCACAACACACATTGTGAGCGTCATCATTAACGGAGATGAGGCTGAGAATACGAGACCTAAACAAAAACTTGGTGAGTTTTGTACCATTCATTCGAAAATTCTGAGAAGACAACAAAACAAACAATGGGTTTAAAAGAACTACCCCTACCACTGCATCTCTTCTGTCCTAGCTGATTTAGATGCTGTACATCCTTCAAATCATATCCTGCAGTCTAGACAAGCAGAGCTGTATTTCTTTGCTAAACTCACTGGGGAGGCCTAGATGTTAAGTGTCGGGCATTGGCACGCCCAGAATGAGACATTTAGGTGCCAAACTTCAGTGAGAGCCATAAGCACTTGTGAACTTAGATAGTCCTCTTAGCTGTGGCTTGACCTTGGAAGAAACTACAGTGTCACTCATAATCAGTCAGCTATCGAAATGCTTTTTAGTTGTACATTCAAGTGTATTTCAAAATCCTTAACTTACTACGTCGTTTTTTCCTACTTGCAGATGACGGAGGTACGTTACGTAGCTGTGCTCACAGTGACAGTAAGGTCAAGTGTGATCTCCGTATGGCAAGTTTTACTTAGAAAATGTCAGTTAAAACTGGATTTCATTTGGGCTTGGTTAATCTCCTGATCCTGAGCAAGCATGCATGAGATCGGCTTTGGCCTAGACATGAAAATTCCTGTGGGGTGTTATCGCATCAGTCACCTTCAAGTATTGCACCTATAGCACCAGTATCTCAGGAAACACAAATTGCTGAATCCACAACAGCTGTAGATCAAGCCCCAAAGACAACCAATTCAGATAGACGGGGGAGGTGTCAATTCATCAAGAACAAACCCTTTCTCTCTCTGCTGTTTTGGTCTTCAAATGCATCTACAATCCATCACTGTACCACTATCTGCCAACCCCAAGTCCCCTTCAACAGTACACTGTCCATTCTCAGAAGGGAGCAGGTCTCCTTTTAGAAGGATTCTTACCCTCTGTAGCTGTCAGCTACGCTGTGTTTTTCCCAGCTCTTTCCCAGTTTCTTTCTGCCAAACCTGGTTTTTAATGACCCCAGTCATTAAATGATGGGGGTCATAATGCCTTCCCCCATTTAATTGGCCTTTTTGTGATATAGGAAGGCTCACAGCTTTTGGATGGTGATGAGCATTAAGCCAGTTTGTTTCCCCTTTCAAGTTGTAAGAAACAGGACACTGAGGTAGGCCTCCTCTACTGTTCACTAAATTAAAGGCGCATAAATTTTTTTCTTCTCTCCTAGAATTTGTGGAAGTCATTTCACTTCCAAAGAACGACCTACTGCAAAGAATTGACGGTAAGAGCTTTCTGACACATTCAGTGCACTAATGTGAGCTTCAGGAAACCCTTAGCTTCTCCTCTCATAGCTCCTTGTTGCATTTCTTGTCCTAGAATACTGTATCTTAAACAAAAAGTTGGGAGAGACTTGGCCAGGTGACAGAGTTAGTGATAGCGGTAGGCGTTGGCATTAAGTCTTCATGTCTGGAATGCTACACATCTTCATTTCAGTAAAGGACTTAAATTTCTGTAGAGGAGAAATTTTAACAGCAGCATCTCATAATTTTTATTTTTTTTGTTTGTTTTCAGAACTAGTAGCAGAAGAACATATTGCAGTGGATGCCAGGGTTTATACTTACGCATTGGCCCTGAAGCGTGCAGCAGAGAAACCGCTCCAAGTTCCTTTTATGAAGTTCTAAAACTAGACGATGGGAAATTTAGTTGAAAACTGCCCAATTCAGATGGCTTAGAAGTATAACTCTTCTTGTAACAAAGGTCCTTTGCTTTACTTGTAGAGCAAAACCAGTATTTGAAGGAATGATTCTGATATTTTCATCTGGAATTATATAACTGACAAAAAGCATTTCTTCTAACTGCTCAGTCTATCAAGCCTTGACAGAATAATCCTAATAAAAATGCCGTTTAATTTTCAGAATGGTTTGTTTCTCACTGTATTCATCATTGCACTTATGTTTCCGTATAAGGAAGATGCGTAAGTAACTGTAGTTGATGGTGTAACACCATCTGTTGAAGATGAGGAAGACAGCAGGAAGAAGTAAGTAACTGTAGTTGATGGTGTAACACCGTCTGTTGAAGATGAAGACAGCAGGAAGAGCGCACTTCTCTCTCGTCCGCAGGCAGCAGCCTTTGAACAACTATAGGTAATTTTCTGCAATAGAAGCAGCAGCAACAGCTACCCGGGGACACAGCGCGCATGCTCTAGCTGCAGTGTTTAAAACTGCAGTTTCTGGAACTTCCTTTTATGGTTTAGACCTGAAGGTGTTGCTTCCTTCTCCCAGGAAAGAGAAAATTGGTTTGTTTGACCTAAGAAAATAGAGACTCCGACAGCGATGACGACAGTGATGACGACAGTAACAACACAACGTCCACTGGTGCAGGACCCAGCCAGGGGATTCCGTTTAAGGTATGGGCTTACCTACATGCCCCGAGACAGCGCAGCCCTGCAGTTCTCCCTCTCCCTGGGACACATCCGTGTATCCAGGCCGCACCTTAGTTCCGTCTAATCACTTCTAGGTAAATCTTCTGCCAAACAAACCTTCAGTGTACCTGTGCACAGTCGACTGCTTCTAATTAGGTAAACCACCACCACTGCTTAAAGGTTAGGATCTAGGAGTTGTAATGAACATATGCTAATATCAAAGTCTTGCCTCTGAAATAAATTTGGATGAGCATGCATAATTAGGAAGATTTACCTCACTTAGAAATGAAGCGGAAAACTTGCTTAAGATTTTCTTACCTTCACAAACAACACAAAGTTACTTTCAAGTTAAGCATGAGAGAAGACAGAAGAGATCAAAATGTGACATCAAAGGGAAAAAGTCACCGATTACAGCTGAGCAGCAAAGCTCAATGATTTTAGGGGGAGGAATCCAGAGAGTTGTTTTTTAATTAAGGCTGCTCAAAACTGATCAGAACTATATTCTAGAAAGAGAAAGGATAAAGATAAAAAAAGGAGCCTTCCAGACCTACCTCGCTAACAAAGCATGTTAGGAATGATCAAAAACTGCCTATGAATCACATCTTGCACAGATAAGACACAGGAGAGAGCTTAATTAAATAAGTTTATTGTCTAACGTTTACAGTTGTTACATCGCCACTGTAAAGTGCGACAACATAAATAAGTTTTCAGCAGGAACTCCTCGTTCCCCCCCTTTCCCTTCTCTGAACGCCGCCTTAGGAACCAGGCCTTGTTCTTCAGACTCACAAAAGCAAAGTGGACATGAAGTTTCAGTGGCACAGTTTTCACGAGTATGTGTTTAAGGAAAACTACTGGGCTGACTCGCTAGCATGACAGCAGCTAACCATTGCTGCCTCACAGGAGGCCCAGGGCAAGAAACGGCAGTGCCCCAGGCCCGGCGATGCAGCAAACCCACCGCAGAACCAGCTCACAGGTGAGATGAGTATCAGTCTCCGGTAAAATGTTTGCTTGTCCAGCCTTAGAGCTAAGAGAAGGGTGCCTGGGTGGAGACACCGCAAAGGAATAAGGAGTGCCGAGTTCGATGATGGGGAAATGCAAGTTAAAAAAGTATAAAAAAACCTGATGTAAAATATGGGCTACAAATAAATTTTGTCACGAATACTGGCACGTGGCAATCCGAACTCAGATTTTATTTTATTTTTTCCTGTTAAGGACAGGGAAATGAAGTTAACGTTTTAATGCTGTGTGCAAAAATGTTTACCGGTATCAAACTGATAAATTTTACCATCTCACTGTAGTGTTTGAACAGCAAGGTAGATGAATTGGTTTCCAGCATTACAGGCAACACTAGATAATACTTAAACAAGATAATGTAAACTTTATTCTTAAGGCAGCTGGTACTAATGCTGCACACAGGCATTGCTCAATGCCCATTACAGTAATGGGACAGGTCGCACTTTAAAACAAGTAAAAAGAAAATAGCATTATTGGACTAAATGACGCATGTTGTCAAAATACTTTCCCTTTCACACAAACCATGAAATATTTGGACATCTAGAAAAATAATGCACCTACTCCTCCAACTTCAGCCTGTTCTTTTACAAATATTTCAAAATACTGATAAATAATAGTGACTGCAAGCAGAATGCCAGTGCCGGACCCAATGGCTCCTAGAAAGTCAGCCAATACTGAAAGGGCACCAATGCACAAACCACCAAATGCAGCTGCCGTAGGGATATACCTGTGCCAACGAAAAAAGAGGAAAGAAGAAAGTATTCATCATCGTGGATTTTCATCCAAAGATTCTAACAATACATCTACTACTAAAACAACCAACTAGAACATCGAGCAACAAATTTAGCATTGCAAATGCAACTCTGCCATTAGCTCTTACCATCTTCCGTGTTTGCACAACGTAGAAACTAAAATAAATATTCACTGATAGGAAAGCTGTGTGAATAATTGAACGCTGGCAAAGTTTTTCAATTAAAAGTACAACAATTTTATATGTGGGCATGCTAGGTAACCTCCACGGGACCAAGAATAACTGCTTTGACTGAAATATGTAGGGATAAATCTACCTTTCAGTATAGATCTGCAGGCTTTGCAATACTGCATAAAATACCGCTTTTGTGGTGTCATCTTAGTTCAGTAATGGTAAATTAAACACCTGTAAAAATCAAGGGATCTTCCTTTTACAAACATGGAAGGGATTCAACCCAAATTCCCTCATTATGCCACTTCAACAAAAGAGACTACGGGTTAATCTCTTAACTACTGCTATAAACATCTTCGATGTTACTATGAAAGGCGACAGCTGAATGGGAACAATCTTGACATTTGCAGTGGAAACAGGTCTCAGATTTTTCCGAGAGTATCTGCTCCGGTCAACACCTCCCCAGCGCTCTTAACTGCCCGGTACAGCGGCACTGTTGGACGTCAGCCTTTCCTTACCTGTTAAGCTCATGAACCATTGAAGTATCCCTGTGGCCTCTCATCACCATCTGCTGTTCTTTGAGTTGCTTGGCAACCTGCAAAAACCATAATTTTATGAAACTGCTGCGGTGTTTCGTAGTCACCTGATATCTAGTCAGAGTAATAACTGATCAGTTGTTAGTAGCCCAGTCAGTTCTAAATTAGAGGCAGCGTTTGAAAACATTGAGGCACGTTTATCAGAACACCTACATCTTTTGCTGATGACCCAGACACCTCAATCCAAGTCTTTGAGAAGAACGCACAGGATCCCAACATAAATATTATATAAACTATTACATGGACAGGATCCTCAAATATTGCACCCATGGATTCTGGAGGGGACAAGTAGTAGCACAGGCCACCAACAGGATAAGAGCGAGCAGGGCCACCGCCACTGACATCCTGTGAGAGGGGAAGAAAAAGGCAATTAGTTATTTCTCGCAGATCTCACATTCCTATCCTGTATTGATAGAGGAATTCCTCTTCAACGTTTCAAACAGCTTTTGTATACAAATGTTAAAAAGTAAGTCTTCCAGTTTTCTGCTGGTTAAATACCAAAGTTTCACAACGAAGTAATATATACATATAATTTTATGCAGTTAAAAAAGTGCTAAAATACTTACTGCCCACTGTCCTAATAAGTTCACCAAGAAGTTGCCACTAAAACGGACAGACAACATCTGGGAAATAACATAGAGGTTCGAAACTAAGGCAGACTGCAGAATGATGGGAATGTTGGAGGTATAAAAGAGCTTGATAGGATAGCTACTGTACTGTCCACGGTATCGTGCAGACTTGATAGGTAAATCAACACGAAATCCCTACGGGAAAGAACACAAATGCACCCAGTTTATTTCCAAGACAGAAGGTGTTCCTAGCATGCCTAAAAGCCACTCCTGACCTTGGGGTTCTCGCTAGATAGACAAGGACTGCAAGGTCTCAGACAGTAAAACCCAAAGGCTTTCTGCTACAGTCTGGATTACAAATTTTAAGGATTTCTAAGTGTTACTGCTTGGTTGTATTGCATTCTTCTTACATAAACATTCTCTCTCATCTGCTAAATGATGCGCCTCTAAAATACACTTTATAGAATAAGGTTTGATAAAAGCCTTTAATGGCTTAATTTAACGAGCCAGTTAACAGCAGACTTCTGTGTAGTAGCCTTCTGTTTTCTGGGGCAGGCTCCTATCTGAGCAGACCCAAGAAAAGCCACATGGATTTGAAAACCAGATAATTCACTTTTTTGCCAGCACTCTGACTCAACAGCTTAAAAAAAAAAAATAAGAAAAAAAAACCACTTTTTAGCCACACACACAAAAAAAAAGAAAATTAAGAAAAAAAAAAAACACTTTTTAGCCACACACACACAAAAAAAAAGAAAAAAAATCACCACATGGACCTCCTTCAGTGTCCATTTTAGTAAATACTTAAATTTAAAAAGAAATACTAGCTAAGTATTTCAAGAAAATTAAGGAAAAACAGAAAGCCATGCATTAATTACACGGTTGTGTTCTAGAACGGATCTGTACCATGCACATCCCAAAGCAGCAAGGTTCTTTAGTTCTGTCCAAAGGTATTCTTTTAAGTCAACTATGAATATCAAGTATATTATTCGTGTGATACAACCACTGCAGATCCAGAATCCGTTTTTAGTAAAAATACCTCATAGCATGTATGGCATTTAATGGAATGTGAGATTACCTCACTGCCTGAGTACAAGTACGTCTGGCTATAAAATTTAACAGCTGTACTGTCACAGAGGTATGTTACTGAAATAGTAATATTGAAACAAAAAGAGTTCCTTACTCAAAGCTAAGATACTTCAGTTGCTCTAGTTCAACTTTTGCATTTTTCCCCAACAACTGCAGCGTCTACTATGAGGAATTTCTCATTTTACCTGAAAATATATGACTACAGCAAATACAAATACTGTAGCAATCAGATTCATGAGATTGGGCAAATTCTGTCGGTAAAAAGCCTCCCGCAAAGCCCGGACTTTGTCGGTTCGTGTAGCCAGAAGA